TCATTCAAACTTAATTTCAACTCTTAGCCGTTTCATGTTTCATGTTTCACGTCCAATCATCATTTAGGGATGATAATTTGACTTGAATCTAATCTTATAAGGCGCATAAGAGTTTGTGAGATGAATTTCATATTAATCTCGTCTGAAAAATTTATGGTGCGGCCTATTTAGTTAAAAAAATTCGGATCAAGTTTGAATATCGTATTCAAGTCCATATTAAATGTCTGATCGGATAAATTAATTTGGATAATCGGATTTGGATTAAATTGATTAAATCTATCAGATGTAATTAGGACAATGTTTTATATTGCAGTGGCTGGATTTGCTTAGGTCTGCGTGGCAAGAAGCTCAGTGGTTAAAGCAGAAGGCAGTCCCAACCATGAACGAATAAATGAAAAAAGGTTACATTTCGTTTGCCTTGGGACCAATTATCCTCCCGGCTCTCTATTTCGTTGGGCGTAGACTCTCGGAGGATGTCGTTGAAAGCCACGAATATAATCTTCAATACGAGGGGTACGACTTCACAAGTATTCAATGAATGTGATCAGGGTTTCAAATCACGTTCTGAAAACGTGATTTCGTCCTCGAAATTACGGTTTCTCCACCGTCCGAGTTACCTGCTACACCTGCAATAGCGCCCGCGACGGCCACAATCACGGTAAACCCAAAATAAACGAAAACGCGATCGCGACTTGAAACTTGACTGTGATTCTTTGTTGAAATCATTGTCCATACTGAAACAATTAAATTATTTTCATTAATAATAATATTTAATGTATGATATGGCTGCACAGAGGAAAAACTAAACGCGGTTTCTTTGTACATAATTCACGGCACCGATTCAATAACCGAAGATGATGTAAATCAAGAACTGAAGCATTTAATCGAGCAAAGGAGGAGAGAGCTGCACAGAGCAGTGGAACGGCGTCGTTAGTTATTCTGGAAAATGAGCAAAGTATTGCATCTGTTTTACGCGAAAGAAGATGGTTTTACCTCGCATGAAATGGCGAATGTTGTGAATGCAGTAATACCTGAGCCAGTATTTGTCGATGAACTCTAACTAAGCTGAGGTGACTGAACCTATAGCACCTGTGCTTTTAACCGAATTTTGCATTTGTGCTTGTTGATAGGGTTCTAGATTTCATTCATTCGCCAAGGCCTCGAAAATCTGTAATACCATTCACAGAATTTCATTATCCTTTTGAGTTTGATTACCATTACATACGAGTGTGTGGCATTTTTCATGCATCAACTTTAGAATTTACGATAGATCACCTTGAAAGGAAAATATATCACTTTTTGTCATTAGAATCACTGGTTCATTTAAGCTCCTAAATACCTGATATTGATGTATACAAAATCTCGAGTCATCCAACGGTGGAGAACTGCTGAAAAGGTTGCCAAGAATCCACTCTAATCTCGGTGCAAAATCCTTTTGTTCTTGACAATGACCGGAAATATTTTATTGACAAGGAAGGAAAGAGCTTTTTCTCTACTGGAATTTGATCTTTAACAAGGTCCTTTCAAGCTAGTTCATGATAGGGACTTGGTACGATAAAGATTGGCAAAATGAAGACGAAAAGTATTGATCTTCTTTTGTCGAACTTATTCGCAAACAAAGTGAAAACGAATGGCAATATGCTTCATTCGGCCATGAACTAGATGTTGACAAAGAGGAATAGCACCCACATTATTGCAGGAGCACATGCAAGAGAAATAGAGTTCCGATAAAAGATTCATGTTCCAATTAGGTTCAGCAACAACATTGGTAACAAATCAATGTTCTGCTTCAATGGAGGAACAATCACCAGTTGTTTGCTTTTTAGATATTGACCGATCAAGAATGAAAAATAAATCTCACCTGCTTGGTCTGCAACTGAGTAAGCATGAAAATTACGGTTGGATTTGCGATGGAAAAAAACCGGAAGGATGGCCAAGTGTCGTGTGATATGGGTTGCCCGGGTTGAATAAATAACGTCCTCATGAGCTCCATATCCTTGTGAGTAATGCAATTAACGGCTTAAAAACAAGGATGGATCGATGTGGTGGTGGGTGCGGTCATACCCTTGAAAATTTTAAAATCCTTTTATATATATATATTTTATATGAATTATTTAAGGGTAAAGTATAGTAATGGTCACTGAATATTTCTGAAGCTTAAATTTAAGTCCCCCAACTTTTAAAATTTGCAATACAATCCCCCAACATTTATTCCGTTTACAATATGGTCCCCCAACTTAAACCACTGTTAGAAAATTAGGGTAAATTGTATAAACGGTCATTGAACTTTTCAGGCACTTGAATTTAGGTCCCCAACTTTTAAAACTTGCAAAACAGTCCCCCAATAATTTTATTTTCTTATTAAATATAGATGTATAGAAAATATAAATGATTCAATTTATATTTAAATGTATAAATCATTTATATTTTTGATATATTTTATTTTTCTTGTATAAACTAGTATTTAAAATATGTTTATATTTTAATCAAAATATTTCAATATACGAATAAAAATATATTTATATAAATGTATATTTATATTTAGATGTATAAATAAAAAAATATATTCATATATTAATGTATGAATCATTTATATTTTTTGAATATTTTATTTTTAATAAGAAATTAAAATTATTAATTATATTAGAAATACTCAACTTAAGATTATATATATAATCATGAATTATAAATATGAAAAATATAATTATTAAATTTAGTTTAAAAATATATAAATCTTAAATTTATTCTTTTAAAATATTGTATCAACTAATATTTAAAAAATATATTAAATCTATCAAACAATTTATCAAATATAATATTTTTTATTGTAAAAAAATATAATATTTTCCTAAAAAAATATAATATTTTCCCATCATTTATTGTTTTCAAATTTTTTGCCGAAGTTCAAATCTCATTATTTCCATTTTTCCATTATATTCTTTTTTTTTCTGGCATTGGTCATACTATTAGTATATGTATTATTGTATATCTCTTAATACAAACGATGGTGCTAGCTTAGTGGCTTCACTCTGTATCTTTCATTTGCGTGACTCAGGTTTGAGTTTGCCCAAGACCCAAATTTTACTTCTTTGTAACTTAATTTTCTTCTAATTAGGTGGTGACATGTGTCACCAATAACACATATCATGATCATGTGTTAACACATGTAAGATCCTGATTAAATGATTAATTTATTAAATTTTATTTAATTTAGGACCAAATTGATAGCATATATAAATAATTAGGTGGTGACATGTGTCACCAATGACACGTGTCATGATCATGTGCTAACACATGTCAGATCCTAATTAAATGATTAATTTATTAAATTTTATTTAATTTAGTACCAAATTGATTATATAAATAATAAAGACTGAATGTATAATAATGTCAATTTCTTTTAACTGCCACATCATCATTTTTATCAATTGGTAACGACTAGTGGCTTAGTTGAAACAGTTAAATAATTATGTTGTATGATTGATAAATTTAAAAGATCGATGATAAAAGTAAAAAGGGTTAGATAGTTAAGTTGTCAACCGAGTAGTTTACACTTTTATTTATACTTCAAAATAACATTTTATAAATTTAAAATTTGAATTATTTTCAACCTCTTCTATATCCTAACTACTTTTTTTAATTAAAAAATTTCTTCAACAGATAAGAATTATACTATTATATTTATATAAAAAATATGTATCACATGAAATAAGATGAAATTAAATAATAATAAATATGACATAATTGAATTTAATTGAATTATTTTAGAATTTAGGGTTTAGAATGAAATTGAAATTACTTTGGAAATTGGGGTTTAGAATGAAATTGAGGACTGTTTTGCAAGTTTTAAAAGTTGGGGGCCCTAAATTCAAGTGTCTGAAAAGTTCAATAACCGTTTATATAATTTACCCTAATTTTCTAACGGTAGTTTAAGTTGGGGGACCATATTGCAAACGGAATAAATGTTGGGGGACTGTATTGCAAGTTTTAAAAGTTGGGGGACCTAAATGCAAGCTTCAGAAATATTCAGTGACCATTACTATACTTTACCCATTATTTAATTTCATACCCAGACCCAGCCCAATACATGTGTCAGATGGGTCGTAGTCCATGACAACATGTTTGAGGGGCATCAGTTTTCTAATGCTTATAGTGTGTATATATATAATTGGCAAAAAAAATTAGCCCAAAACTCCTGATATTGTTTGAGGGGGCATCAGTTTTCAGTTTATATTAGTATTAATATTGTTTTACTATAATTTCTATTACATTTTTGTTTTAAAAAATTATTTAAGTTTTGTCTATTATACGGTACAAGTATAGGGGCATAAAATTATTATTTCGCCCAGAGCATTAAAACTCATTGGACCGGCTCTGTTCATACCCTTGAGATATTTAGTCTCGTACCCCTAAAGTTTTAATATAATTTTTTTATGTTCGCACCCCTGACACAAATTCACGAGCACAGTCCCTTCTTAAATTGTGGGGAATCAATTTTATTTAAAGAGTGGTTGTAGTGGATAGTTGTGATTTGATAATTTTATCTTTCTAGTTATCATGTATAAAAAGGATAGTCTCCCTCAAATTAGTCAAAAAATTAATTATTCTATTTCATTCTCCTCAGAAAAAAATTTGTCGAAGAGAGTAATACAAGCGGGTTCTACATTCTTATTTTGGGTGTACTAAGTTAGAAATATTGTGTTAACCTTATGGGACAACGTCCATTTTCGAGATTGCAACAATTTGGACAAAGTTATTTTTAAAACAGTGACTCCTACCATGACACAATAATTTGTTCTATTTTCCTTTATTACTTTATTTTTTTGTCAATGCTAACAATATTATTTTGCAGCAAAATTATTTTTAGTCAATGCTAAAAAATTTAGTGAATTAATACCCTTGAAGCCCTTTTAGTTGGCTTCTCTTAGAATTTTCTTGGTATATGTTATATAAACGTACCTATAATTCATGAGAAAGAAGAAAAGACCCAAAGAATTGAAAAGCAAAAAAAGGTAGGGATTGTACTAATAATAAACAAGAAGCAAAAAGGTTCAAGCCCATTTGGCCAAGACAGACATGCAGGCAGTCCCAAGAAGAAGTGAAACATAGACACCGAGTTGAAGCCTAGCATTGGATTGCAGCCTTGGGTTCATGAAATCTGCAGCCAGCAGGTCTACTAGAGCCATGTATACCAATATCCCTGCCGATGCCGAGTTGAACACTCCCTCCACGATTAGTGCTGTTTGGTCGTTGTCTTTGTAGAAACTCGATATCCCAATCCCTATTGCGATCCCCATCGGGGTTGTTAGGGAGAAAAATGTCCCCATGATTGCCACCGACATTGACTTGAATTGTGCCTTCATTCCCATTTCCACCATCAACCAAATTGAACTCTTAGTTATCGGATCATGAGTATCAAAATTCGGGTATTATTAGAGATCGGAAGCATTTTACCCCTCAACATTTTATTTTAGAGTTAAACGTCTCTGACCGGATAAAAATAGTTAATTGATTAATAATCAATATCTGTCGTTGATGTAATAAGTCTTACATTTGTAAGTGATGGCGTAAGTTTATGTACATATGACATGTGACGTGTTATCGCTTTGAACATGTGGGATGTATCACATCACCGCTTATAACACGTGTCAGTGGTACTAATGTTCTCATTAAGGGGCCTTTGAGCTTAAGATCATATTGAGAATACTTTATATGATTATTTTATTTCAGAATGAAGTAATGGGACTAACTTATTCTAAAAAACGATTTTAAGTTTAAAGTCCGTTTAATGGGACACTAATATCATTTAGACTCGTGATTGTTTGCTACAGTCGAATGAACCATTTAAAAATATGTGGGGTTTTCAAAACCTTTTCACAAAGTATAAAAGATAAAATCTCGAAATGAACCGAACACATACATCCTGAAATTACAATTAAGATTGTATTAGGTCCAAATTCCCTCCCCTCAGCTTAGTATAAGTGTAGGAATTTAGAATTGAATACCTGAGATATGCAACCACCAAGTCCCATTCCTTCAAAGAACTGATGGAAGGACAAGGCTGCAACTAGTGGCCTTATTGTGCCTGCACTTTGAGAAGCTCCCAAAGATATCCCAATTACCACCGAATGAACCACTATTCCCACCTCCAATACCTGAAAAATCAGTGTATATCCAATCTGGATATCAAACTATATGGGAACATGTATGTTTATGTATGTGTGTATGTATGTATATTTGAGTCTACTTGGGATATGATACGTTGACGGATAAGCTGAGAGGAAAGCAACTCCTGATCAGATGGGGAATCTGCAGAGCCATGAGCATGACCATGAGTGGCATGCGTATGAACATGCAAATGACCTGCATGTTCTTCATCATCTGCATCAACTTGCTTCTCGTTACTTAAATGTTGTCTCTTATAATACCCCGTCGCGAACGCATCAATCATCAACGTCCCTATAGCCGACATCATCACGATGAAGCCTGAGAAAGGGAATTTCCCCCAAGGTCTACTTCTAATGCACGGAGAAGTCAGGCTCTCGAATGCATCGGGTAGGATGTGAACGAACCCGGTCGCGAGGATCACGCCGGCCGCAAACGCCTTGATCATGAAGAACTGGTCGTTTTCAGGGCTCAACGCAGGGATCCGTGACCCCAACAACGGGAGGCTAACTCCGATAGCACCGGCAACGAGAATGGAAGCAATGGCACCGAGCTTATATCGGAGCGCTTCGGCCTTGTCTTGTCGAACATCGTCGTCTACGCAAGTACACTCGCAAGAGACTGTTGCAGGGTAAATGAGGAGCAGGAGAAGGGAAAAAATCTGCAAGACTTTTAATGAACAAAGTTGAAAATGAGCCATTGAAGTATGGTGTAGGGCACGGTGCCTTATACGACGGAAAGGGGCTTGATCATAGAGAAAGGAAAGATGATATTTATATGGAAAGCTGAGGAATTTGCAAAGCACACAACTTGCAATTGATGGCTATTACAAGAGAATATGAAGCTGCAAGGGAAAACCACTCAATAATTTATATACATACATGGTAGCGTTAGCATGATGGCCTAGATTCCCATGCCTATAACTGTTTTTGTTGTATTTATATTTATATTCAACTAAAAAATTAATGAAATCGAACGATAATCGGATCGTTTAGTGAGATAACATATTAGATTTTTTTTAGTGAGGTTAGAGTTCAAATTATTTTTTTGAGACTAGGGTCTAAATTTTCATTATTTTTGTGTTTTTTAAATATAGTTAAAGGTAGTCTAGGGTTTGTAAAGGTGGGCACAGTGTAGGAGAAGACGATGGGATCGAGTAGTACAACGAAGATGGAGACATAATGTTGTCATCCAAACGGCTTTTGATTAAACCAAACGACCAAAGCAAACGACGCACAGCCTTAGAATGTCGACATTTTTCACTTAAATCATCCCTTATTGTTTTCATGCCTTTACGTCCTTTCTTTCATTTCTTTAATTAACAGTTCACATGCATGAAATTACACGCCTTCTTTCTTTTCAATGCTCATTTGTCCCCAAAGTTACAAAATAAAATCTTCATTTTACGTATGTGTATTTGTAACTTATAAAAATAAAATTCTAGAGAATGAAAATTAAATTATCAATAAAAAAATATTTAAATTATAAGAGAAACTAAAATTTTGCCCCTGTCAGTCTCCCTCGACCCATGTAGTGACGAATACAAAAAGATTTTATTGGATGAACTAATAAAAGTGTAATAAAAATTTGCATAATATCAAAAATAACCCATAACGGTTATTATGAGACTACGACATCTCATAATAATAATAATAATACTATTATATAAAAATTAATAAATATTTAAATTTGACTTTGGTTGGTATTTTTTGAAATTTGTTTTTAGGATATTAATTACTTCAGCTTCTGCTGCTATGTGTTCCCTATTTCCATGTTTGCTATTTAGGAGGATATGCCTCCAGTTTCTCATTCCAGCAGCATTAGGACACTCCTCTACTCTTTCATGCCTACAGGTAATTTTTGAATTCAGTAAAAGTTATGCAGAAAAATATTCAAGATTTTGGATACTTCAACTCAAAAAGATTGCAGGTAACGAACAAACACCATGGGCCTGCAAAAGAAAATCTCTTCCCAAACTCCTAATCTTCCCCACACCAATTCAGATTCTGTCTTGCATCATCCCATAACTGGATCTATTGCAAGGGACCGAATCAATGTGATCTGAAAGTTTACTTTCACAGATTGCAATTCAAATGCTTATAACGAAGTGATATGTGTTCATAAAAGCTCATCTTACCTCCTTCTGTTGCACATCATTTTTCAGACGATCATAGTCTTCCACATCGATGTTTCTACATCTCTCAAGTAACTTTACTTGAGAAAAATAGCAGTCTACACTTTAACTCGTACTCTTACCTCAGAGACCCTCTTTTCCAAGACACCTCTCTCCGTCTGATGCTTTTCAATTTCCCTTTTAGAAGCTTCAAGCTCAAATTGCCTGTCCATCAGCTGACTCTCCTAGAGCTTCAGATTCAATCCTACTTTTATGAGCCACCTCTCGTAATTTCTATAAGCAAAACAGGAAAACCTGTAAATTGACAAACATAATAAATAAACAAATATTGCTTATTCCAGAAAATTGATTTTTCCCCAAAATGATCCTAGGCCTAGAGTGCCAGGTTCCCTCCAAAGACATACCTGGCACTCCTCAAAATTGAGCTTGTTCTCCTCTCTAAGCTGCATGTTACTTTCACGGAGCAAATTCATTTCCCTAATCAGCATATATTACATGATTTAACTATAAGATCTTTTGGAACAAAAATATTACATAAGGGCACTACTACAAGAAATAGGGAATATCATTAGATCAGGATAAACTAGCAAATGCTAGATCTCTGAAAGGGTACTGAAATTGGCATGATATCAACAGATTTAGGACTAAAAGAATCTATATGAAGGGCCAAAAGCATGGGGGAAAAGCTGATTGCCCCTAACATAACTATGTTGCAAGAAGACTAACCTGGTGTGATCTCATCCTCGGTCATCAACAATGCTCTTGAATTGACACGCTCAGCATTAAGTGTGGCTTTGACATTTTCTTCTGCCTTGAGAGCATTCTCAAGCTACAAAATAATGCCAGGAAATTTGTGCCATTTAAACAATCCCATGAAGAAACAGAACTGATGTTCCATAATCACTACAGCAAAAGTGTTCTATAGCGGCATTTCTAACAGCGTTTCTAGCAGCGTTTTAAGGGCAAATGCCACAAAAGTTAAGCATGTCGCGGCGTTTACAATACAAACGCCACAAAATGATACTTTAGCGTCGTTTTTCAAAAAAAATGCTGTAATAGAATGGTAATTTAGCGGCGTTTATAGCTAAAACGCCACAATAGATTTGTTTATAGTGGCTTTTTTTCAACAAACGCCGCAACATAGTGGTAATTTTGCGGCGTTTTTATACAAACGCCGCGATTGTGTTGTTTATAGTGGCGTTTGTTCAACAAATGACGCTATAGAGAAGTAATTTAGCGGCGTTTATGAAACAAACGCCGTAATAGAGCAGTTATTTAGCGGCGTTTGTCTCACAAACGGAGCAATATGTTGTTTATCGTGGCGTTTTTATAAAAACACCGCAAAAACATGTACTATAGTGGTGTTTGTTTAAAAAATGCCGCAAAAGGGTCAATATATGCTCCACACATTTCTCCTTCCCAATCCTTAAAATCATTTCAACACTGCTTCCCTAAAGGATTTCTCTGGTACAACAACGACCCACACACGATTCTAGCCGACGTCGTCTTCTGTATGTCCCGACGACCAAATTTGCCCTCTCAGTAGCGAACAATTATCTTACGATTGCACGGTTTGATCCCTTCTCTTACTATTGAACTTTTTCATTTATTTTTTGTTGGTATTATGAAAATGGGGAAAACCATAAAGCTAACGTAATGGAGAAAAATAATAGCTTTCGAATAGGAAAAGAATATGTATACATATTGTTTTACTGGTTTACTGCTTGGGAGAAGTGTTTTGTTTCTTTCGAATAGAAAAATAATTACTTTCTAATAGGAAAATAATAGCTTTTGAAAACATGAATATCTATACGAAGACCAGGTGTTGCATTCAGTAAGAGAAAATATAGTCGAAATGTCCACGTGGCGTCTTAGTTCTGACGATGGATCAAATTATTGTTGGGAGGCTATCAGTCTGAACTTGATGTCGATAGTCGATGATGACCCGAAAGGCCCTCCTATTGCAAAATACCCTTCCATGGTTGATCTCCTAAGTAAAGGTAATAATTAATCGCTGAAATTTTATGCCACTATATTTTTATTTTCTAATCTAAAATTTCATAGATCGCACGCATGTAGGATGTTCTAAGCTTATTGAGAACGATGATAGAGGAGTGGATAAATACCCGATGTTTAGAACCGAAATTGGTAACTAACTGGCGTTAAAAGAATCTTCAATTGCAAAAACAATATATATCCTCAATGAAGACGACATTGGCTCTAATGATACTCCAAGTAAACGTTTCTATCTTGTATTTAAATTTTTTTTAATGTTTGATTCAATTCCAAAGCTACCTCCAATCAAGTTTCATACTGTAGGTGGAAGGTCGTTATCTATTTCAAGTGAAACACTGAACCGCACAAGCAATCTTCTTGGTGAACCGGAGGTAGGGGATTTATTTGGTGAAATGGATGAAGAGTTTCTCCATATAGAGTTTTCACGGGGGGAAAACTTAACGATGCGTCGTGAAACATAGAAAACGACTTTCTTACGTCATTTCCCCACGAAGGAGCAATGAAGACTAAATTGTAGTGAACAATATGGTGAAAACTGTTGTTGCATAACTTTAATGTTTATAAATTTTAATGTATTTTGTTGTTATGTATTTTTATGCAAAACTTCTGTCTTAATTAAATGAATGATTGTTGTTAATTACATAAAACTACTACATTATAGTAAATTTAGTTTATGTAGATTAGGATTATTATGTTTTTAGGAGACTTTTTTTATTAAACATTTGCTCTCTATTTTTATTTTATTTTAATTTTTGGATTGTATTTAAATGTTAATTTTTATTTTTATTTTTTTTGAATATGCGGTTCTGATTAGTTTATGGATATTAGGATTATTATCTTTTTAGGATACTCTTTTTATTAAAGGAAAAAATTAGGGGGGAAAAGGCTACAAATTTTAAACATATTGCGGCGTTTACAACCCAAATGTCAAAAAATGAAAGTTTGGTGGTGTTTTTTAAAAAAATGTTGCAATAGGGTTACTTTATAGTGGCGTTTTTACTAAAAATGTCATAATAGGGTTAGTTTATAGCGGCAGTTTTTTTATTAAACGTCACAAAAATACTCTTAATTTAGTAGCGTCTGTGAGAAAACATCGTAATAGTATTGTACTTTAGTGGCGTTTGTGACCAAACGTCGCAATATCCATGTATATTTATGGCGTTTGTAGAAAAACGCCGTAATATCCATGTTCTTTAGCGGTGTTTATATAAAAACGTCGCAATAGTTTTATCATTTAGTGGCGTTTTATTAATAAACGCCGCAGTAGTATTGTCCTTTAGGGACGTTTTTGTAATAAACGTCGCATATATTTGGTCCCTTAGTGGCGTTTTAATGTAAACACCGCTATTGTCCATCGTTATATCAGATATCCCCAATTCTGCCCATTCCCTAATTTTTTTATCCCTAATTTTCTATGGATTGGTCGTGCGTCTTCATCAAATCGGCACCACTCACCACCGTCCAGCCTCTACTGACCAACGTTGCGCCATCACTCATCATCGTCGCGCCGCTGGTCATTTTTTTCTTTACCTGGTTTCTGTTGTTTACCCTTTACCGACAAAGCTGCAGTCGTTCGGTGCTATCGTCGCCTTCACCGCCACTCCCATCAAAATCTCCACACTGTTCCGAGTCAACCAGTTATTCTCACCTCCAGCTCTTTCGTCCTTTGGTGGAACAACTCGGATTGCTTACTGAGGTTTTAACATCTTTTTACTCGAAAGAAAACAATTGATTTTTTTCATATCTTTTGTTTATCTCCTCGATTATTTTCCCTTTAGATGTCATTTGAATTTGATCTCCTCTTGAGGATAAATCCCCTTTAGAGATTTCCACAATCGTCCCTTGGGCTTGAATGGAGGAAGCTTGGAGTAGGAATTAAGTAGAGATTTGTAATTTTCTTATTTGAATTTTTGTGTTCCAAGATTCAGATGCTCCAATTCGAAAGAAGGCACTTAACCTTGTATACTTGTTGGTGAGTGAAAGCAATGAGAAGCCTTTAACAAAGGAGTTAATTGAATATTTGGAAGAAAGCGATCAAGAATTTAAGGGAGTTCTTACTGCCAAGACTTGCTCCATTGTTGAAAAGTAGGTTATGCTTTTTGTTAGTCTTTCTATACTGTAATATTTGTAATTTTCTTCTATGTTCTTTATGTTCTTGTCTCTGTTCATAGTTAGTGTTGCACAATAATTGTTTAATGCTTCATGGGTTGCGTTTTATAAGTGGAATTTGTTTTCGTAGATGTTGATGTGCTTACAGTTATTGGATTTGAAATAGTTGAGGGTTTAGTTTCTTCTTATATGTTTGTGTTCATTCTACAACCTAGAGCTAATTGAAAATTTTGGTTTTACATCCTTAAATTATCAAGATAATCTATCAGGCCCTATAGAAACCTCATCACAATGTCTTATCAATACGATTTCCATTACCATTTGTTTTAACATTTTCATGATACTTGTCAATACATAGGATTCAATTTAATGAGTTCTTGGTCGTATTTGTCTTATGAATGCATGTGAGGAATCTATATGTCATATGCATGTATGTATATGTAAATTAAGCTTATGATAAATGTAAATTAAGCTTAGGATATATAATTACGATAAATTAAGATTCTTTGTTTCCTAGCCAAGATGCTCATATTTCAAATTCTCAAATTACTTTTATACTGACTAACAATGAGGTTCATGATGTTAATCAACATGAAAATGATGACCAGGTTACAAATAATTGTATTTATCAGAATGGATCGAATACACATGTACTATTAGAGGAAATTCCACATGTGATTGTCCATGATAAACTTGTTGAACATGTTGCACAAAATAATACTACCGGAAAGTGCCTGAATTGATTGACCTTGCTTACTGCAAAATTAATGTCAGGCCTTGCATTAGATATATGTTGAAGAGAACCTATGATCTGTCTGTATTGTGTGTGATTCGACATTATCTTGGTTTGATTGACCTTGCTTTCTTACGTCCTTTCTGTAGGTCCATTTACTTCGTCTGCTTATTTTCTGCTCTGAGACTTGAAGTAAATCTTGTTGTTGAAACGTCCTTAACCTCGGAAATCACTGTTGCTGTCGGAGTTTGATCGAGTTGTAGAGGTATAAGACTTCGTCACTTATTTCATTTTTAACCATTTCACTTTTTCCTTTATCTTTCTTCGTTTATCTTTCTTCGTTTATTTTTTCTTGTTTTCATTTTTAAAGGTTTTTGGCATAGCATTTTATGGTTATTTATTGTTTATTGTCTTCTTGTGGCATTGCCATTTTCTTTTTCACATTGAGTAATATATATGGTGAAATTTAAGTCTAGAGTAATTAATTTACTGTATGGAATTAACTTCCATAAGGTTAGGTGTGGATCACTAAACATTTGTGGTTCTGGTTCATCTAAAGAGCATCATAATCAACATTTTCCATAAGGTTAGGAGTGGTTTTGGTTATGCTTCTGGTTCTGGTTCTAG